CCCACCCGCCGCTCCACCAGCGAGTAGGACACGCGCGCGTTCTCCTGCGCGTCCGCGTCGCGCGCGCACACCGTCAAGATCGGGGAGCCCGGCGGGTTGTTCTCCTTCACGAACACCGTGTACTCGGCCTGCGCGAACACCGGCGCGTTGTCGTTCACGTCGGCCACCTCCACGGACACGGTGGCCGTGGTCCACAGCGAGGGCGAGCCCCCGTCCCTGGCAGTCACCACCACCTCGTAGTCAGAGGCGCTCTCCCGGTCCAGGGCGCTGTCCAGCACCAGGGAATAGTAGTTCTTGAAGGTGGACACCAGCTTGAAGGGGACGTGGGGTGTCAGCGAGCAGGTCACCTCCCCGTTGACACCCGAGTCGCGGTCGGACACGCTGATCAGGGCGATGACTCTTCCAATTTGGGCGTCCTCTTCCACAGGCAAGGACAAAGACGTCAGTGTAATCTTCGGAACGTTATCATTTTCATCCAGAACTTGCACTATAACGGTGCAATGACCTGCCATGGGAGGGTGGCCTTTGTCCGTGGCGTCTACGCGGATTTTGTATAAATTCACTTGTTCAAAATCCAAATCCCCTCGAATCACGATTTCTCCACTGCTGGGATCTATGCTAAACCTGTCCATAACGAGGGGTAGAACGAGGCTATTAAAAGAATATGAGATTGCCGCGTTCGTTCCTGCGTCCCGATCAGAAGCACTCAGTCTTATAACTGTTGTTCCGACGTCTGAGTTTTCGAATATCCTCACTTCGTACTCGGGCTGGTCGAAAGCAGGAGCATGATCGTTCACGTCCAGCACAGTGATCAGCAGCTGAACAGAACCCGTGAGCTCAGGTTTGCCTCCATCGGTGGCCGTCAGGAGTAAGTTATGTTTCGGAGCCTCCTCTCTGTCCAAAGATTTTCTTAATACGAGCTCGATCTGTTTATTGTCATAATTGTTTGTTTTCACATCTAACCCAAAGTATTCATTGGAACTGAGTTTATAGGTTAAAATAGAATTTGACCCAACATCTGCATCTGATGCGCCCTCTAGTGGAATAAGAGAATGTTGCAGCCTAGATTCATAAATCAGCAGTCTTTGTTCCTTTGCTGGGAACACAGGCGGGTTGTCGTTAATGTCCTTCACCTCCACCTCCACGTGGAAAACCTGCAGCGGTCTGTCCACGATCACCTCCAGGTGGATGCTGCACTCCGCGCTCCGCCCGCACAGCTCCTCCCGGTCGACCCGAGAATTCACAAACAAAATGCCATTCTGCAGATTTACCTCCAGAAGGTCCCCGCGCTCCTTGGACGCCACCCGGAACAGGCGCGGCACCAGCTCCGCCAGCTCCAGCCCCAGGTCCTGCGCGATGCGGCCCACGAAGGTGCCGTGTTTGGCCTCCTCGGGGACCGAGTAGTGGAGGTGGCCGCTCCCAGCCTCCCAGGCTGCCAAGAGCAGAAGCAACAGCAGCAGACGCTGGGATTCCAGGCCTCCTTGCCAAGAAAACACCATGTCAAGTATCCGTTTTATTCCTACCAGAAAATCTTGTCTTGATATAAAGATGAAGTATTGTGTTAGCTGAACTCCTTTAGTGCAATTGTGCCGCTTCTACCATTGTTCGGCTTTTAGAGACAGATACTGTTAGAGGAAAAGCTTTGAATCTTGGCTTGACAGAACTGGGTAGACAGCGACATCATGTGGTACCAATAGGTAATTATTACATGATTTAACTGAATTCTTTTATGCAACAAATGTTTTCTTTTGATTTTAATAGTTGATCCTTACCTTCAAAGATTGTAGGTACGTTTATCCATTAGGAAGCCTTACCCTAATTTAGTTTCATCAATTCATCTCTTTTCTCATAAGTAAAGAAGTTTCTCTGATATTTTAATTATTGATATCATTTAGTAACATGTTTAAACGTGATGGGGACATGTTAGTTATCAGAAGTATAAGATAAGTCCACATTTTTATAGAGGGAGTGTGTTCATACTTATCTGATCACCAGAATACATTACTCTAATGTGAGCTTGTAATTTTTTTTTGTTCTTTGAAGTCCTGCATATTATTGTTAAATTTCTGTTTTACTTTATTCAATGAATGTCAAATTTCTTAAACTGTTTTACTTGCAAATTCCAGAAGAAAATCAAATGCATATACGTTATGATATTCAGCACCTCTCTAGCTTGCTAACATAAGTTTCTCACACAAAACATTCCTCCATAGATTTCTCTGCCACCTAGTTGTGTGTCTACCTTTGGTCTTCTTGGCTCTTCATTGTCTGATTCTCCAAAACATGAATATTCGCAAACTTGTGCCTTTAGACTTTTTTGCTGTTTTGATTCTTTCCTTTTCTCTGCTCCCATATTTTAAAATTAGTCCATTGTTTGAAATTCTAAATCTATATCTACAACACCCTATTTTCGAGCTCTATTTAACACTTTGTTACCCCTAACATTCTCTTAAAAATGTATTAACAAGAATCAAAAGATACTTAATCAAACATTACCCTCAAATCCAAGTCTTGCAAAATCACTATTTCTAAAGTCTGGCCATTCTCCAAATTTATAGGTGTTTTTGTGACTCATTTCCCTTGCATAATGTATTTAAACTCTGCCTATAACCCATCTCTCTTTACATATCATAATTTTTGTCTTCATGAGTACAAATTTAATTGGATTTGACTAAATCCTCTGGTAAGTTTACCTTTTAGTGAACAAGTGTCAAGACATTAGATTCTCATTGAAACATATACTATGTGACCATTAGTCAATCTCCCTATGTTGTCTTTAACAACTTTCTTTATGAATCATACTTCACAAAAAGAGACTTTAGCTCTTTCTCAACACCCTTTTTTGTCAAGGTATTTCTTCTATATAATGTCATCTTTACCTATAAAATTATATCCATCTGTTCAAGTTTACCTCAGAAGTAAGTTCTCAGACCACTAGTTGTTATGTCTCCTCTGTAGCTGATTGAAATCTCCTCTAAATGCCTATAATAGTACTTCTCAAAGGATAAGACTTTCCAAATAATATGTTCCTCCCCTCACTAACTTAGGATGTGGTATACTTTAAACAGCACTGTAGGCAACTATATAAAAAATCTTTAATGAGATCTGTCATCCCTGCATGCAGGTAGTCTCAGGCAGGAGGATTGCAAGTTGAATCCCAACCTGGAAAATTCAGCAATATCATGCCTCAAAAATAAAGAAAAGAAAAGGTTGGGGATGTAGATCAATGCAAAGGCCCTGGGTTCAATCCCATATATGGGGGGGTGTCTACTACTTGGGATACCTATAGTAGAATTATCACTAAACTTTTATTAATTTTGACAAACATTCCCTTTGAAAAACAATCCTTTGCTTACACTAGGGTAAGAGTGCCCATAAAAGAAATATTGGCCAACACCATCCACATTCAAGTTTTTCAAAATATTTTCACTTCTTGAGATAAAAACAATAAATGTATTGAAAATCTTCACAAAAAAGGAAGTAAAATAGGAAAGAGGAATAAGGGAATTTTCTATAAACCTGCATTTATCTTCACATTACTTACACAAGAGTTATCTCCATAGGTGATTCAAAATAAAAGCAAAGATTTTATTTTTTAAATGGCATTAATCAGTATCTCTGAGAGGGCTTTTTACCAGCAAGAAAAATATCTCATAAATGTAACATGAGTAGAGTTTGCATTTCTAAAAATAATTTACCTACAGAAAAAAGTAGTGATGAATCATGAATACAAGGTGGGGTGCTAAGGAAAATCTCCACTGACATGCACTATTTCCCAAAATAAATAAGATTTTTAAATTTCTTAAAAATAATATGGTAGGGGCCAGGGATTTAGCTCAGTGGCACCACACCTGCCTTGCATATGCAAGGTCCTGAGTACCAAATAATAATGATAATATGATAGCATAATTCTTTTTAAACTATGTATATGTATGAATAAAATAAATATATATCAAATACGAATACCATCATTGAATGATAAAATGTTTATAGATTTTCCTTAAAAGTGACTATTCTTTCAACAAAAGCAGCAAACTTAGTCTGCCCATGGGAAATATCAATTTATTGCTCAATGGAAAATAATTCTCCTGATTTTCAAACAAGTTCTTGATGAAAATATGCCTCTAATTTTATTTATATTTAATAAGGAACATATTCTAAAATAGCATTCTAAAAATATTGAGATTTTATGAATTGTAAAAGTCAACAGTCATATCTAACCGAAATTTTTTGCAAATTCTAAATATAATGTAAGTTTAGATATTTAAGCTATTGTTCTGCTAATATGCATGACAAAGAATGGAATAAATTAATAATGATAAAAAAGAAAAATAAATAACAGATGCATTACAATGGAAGAGAAAACTCTATGATTTGAACCAGAAAACTATAAAGTGCAGAAGAGTAAGTTTAAAGTATCAGCACTCAACTTTTATGAATGAAGGGCACAATGTACACATATTTATACTCTCAGAACATACTAAAGAAATTCAAATTGCTTCATGAGTTCAGAGGTTTAGACATGGTAAAGAAAACTAGGTTCATACTAGGTTCATTTCTTTGAAACTTTGGTTGGAAATATATTTCCCATAGCAATAAGTAATAAAATAAAATACTAGTGAACTGTTTCTTAAACAATATTTTAAAATCACTAATATTAAATCATCACGTGCATGGCAAATAAATACTATGAAGTAACTTTTAAAAAGCCAATAACTGCATAGATATGAAGAGAGGACAAATTGGTGTGTGTAATAAAAATTAAATCAGGTATTTCTGTGTCCCTCTGTAATCCCATTTACTTGGGAGGCTGAGGAAAGAGAAGCCCATACTCAAGGCTGACTTGGGTAACTTATCAAGACTCTTAATGAAATTAAGAACAGAAAAAGGGTCAACGGTATAGCTCAGCAGTAGAGAGCACCTGGATACAACCCCTGGTTTAAAAGAAAAATTAATAAATTAAAATAATTCAGCTTCAATTCAAAAACATTTAAAAGGATGATGTTGAAGCACATGTTTTTATAAAAAATATATATAGGATAAGTAATACGTTAAACATATTGAAATTCTTTTAATGTAGCATTTATATAAATGGAAGAGGGCTGTGGACATAGTTAACTGATAGAATGCATAACCACTGTGCGACAGACCGTGCATTGCATGACCTGAAACGCATAAAAGAATGGGAGAGAATTTTTTAAAACATTAGATATTAAAACACCAAATTTGGAAATTCACTGTGAGAAAAGTAAATCAATTACTCAAATTAGAAAACTATCTACACAAAGCCGGGAAACTAGCTCAGTGGTTCCTCCACTTGCCTCCCAAGCTCAAGATCCTGAGTTCTATCCTCGTACCAAAAGGAAAAGTATCTATGCAAAAATAACACCACACGGGTCACCAATTATTAAGAAAAGTATATGTAGCTATCAAAAGAAGTTAAGAACTGCTTAATTACAACCTAAAATAAATGTTTTAAGAACGAAATTACTCAATACTCACGGTGTCACTAGACGTAGGACCCTGAGGTAGACTGGGGCTGAAGGCCATGAGGTCCGTCTTGGGCGGGCCCTCCCCAGAGCACACCCTCTGACCCCTCTGCTGCGAGTACGACCAGCTCCCCACCGCGCTCGAGCAAACCAGCGTGGGCTTCCCAGGCCCGCACGCGCTCTCCGTGGGCGCCGC